GGGTGGTTTTTATGGGAAAACTAAAAAAAGGGATTAGGGCCCCAAAAAAAAAAAAAAAAAAAAAAAATTAAATTCTGACTGATCCCAGAATTTTGACTTTTTTCTCAAAATTATCACTTTTTTCCTCAAAACTATCACCTTTTTCTCTGAATTCTTACATTTATTCCTCTAACGTAACACTTTTTTTAAATCAAAATTTGGACTTTTTTTGTAGAGTTTAGATTTTAAACCGACTTCTACTTTCCTTCAGAATTCTTAATTTAACCTCAGAATTCTAATTTTGTGTTAATCTATGTCAAAATCCAAATAAATAACCAAACATTCTCATGTTTGTGTCAGTAATATTGTTAGTATGTAAAAGTAATCATATAGCTGTTTCTTCCTTGTTACAGGATTTGTAAACCAGCATTTTTTCAGAATTAATTTTTTTCTTTTTAGTGGCACTAGCCCTCTTCCGTAGAAACACTTTAAACACTTTAGGCTAACGTTTGTTTCCTTCTTCATCCACATCCTCGGCTTCTATGAGCCAGTCCATGTATCCGATCATGTCCTCCTCCATCTGCTTGCTCTCCTGAGCTTTCTGCAGCTCTCCACGTGCAACAGCCTTCTCTCTTTCTTTGGAAAACTCGCTGTAAAAGATAAACACTTGAAAGTTTACCACATTGTGCTACGAGAGCTTTATCAGTGTTCAGAAAGTGTGAGATTGAGAGAAAAGTGGAAGTCTGCGAGACAGCAACTACCCACCCGCTCAACACACCCAATACAAGGTTGATGATGAAAAATGATCCGAAAATGACTAAAGAAACAAAGTAGACCCATGGAATGTCGAAGCCGATGGCATCATTCATCTGTGCAGAAATAAAGAAAAAGCCCATATTTATAATACATACAAATATAACATGCAACCCCCATAAAGATGCATAAACATCCACATAAAGCCATCTGAGTATTTCATCAACATAATCTCACTACAAAAACACAAAATCTTACCAAGTATTTTTAATGTAGTTTGTAGTGGAAATATCTGCCAGCAGAACTAGAATTTTTTCATCAATATTAAAGAATTATTGACTTAAAACCAAGCTCATATTTCTGGTTGAAAAGTTACTTTTAAGCTAGTTTTGTCTTTTTTTCCCCCCCAAATGTACTAAAATATTTGCACTAGAAACTACTAGACCAAAAATACTTGGCAAGATTTTGTGGTTTTGCAGTATTCATATGAAAACTTTAGGACAACTATTATTATTATTATTAGTATTAGTATTTTAAAAATCATTTATGCTCGCTAAATGTGTGTCCTCCTTTATTGCCACAAAGCATAATTTCTGATAATTATCTACAATAGGAAATTTGTTACAATGTTTACAGATCCACCATTTTATTTCTATTTTTTTATTTTAATTTAAAGAAAAACTGAAAACTTTAGTAAAAAGAGAATGGATACATTTTCTTTCTTAGGATGGTGATATTTGTGCAAAATTAAAATAAAAACGTAGAATCCAACCTATGGAAGAGAATTACAAATTAAAAATAATTTTTACTTTTTTCCTCAGAATTATGACATTAATCTTCTAAAATTAGAATGCTTAGGTTAAAGTCAGAATTCTGAGGGGGGGGGGGATCATAATTCTGACTTTTTTGTTGTTTTTCAGTGGCAATAATGTTCTTCCATACAAACATAAAAACCATTGATCTGAAGCGTGGGAGTTGTGCATGAATGTGTTTTTTACCCAGTAGAGAACGTCTGTCCAGCCCTCCATAGTGATGCACTGGAAAACTGTGAGCATGGCAAAGAAAATGTTGTCAAAGTTTGTGATGCCGCCGTTCGGACCCTCCCACTTCCCTTTGCATTCGGTGCCATTGGTGACACATAAACGTCCGACTCCCGCAAAAGCACACGGCGATGGATCGTCCTCCACCATGAGGCCTGCAGGAGACGGAAGAACATGAGGAGGAGGATGATGAAGGCAGAGACGTTCTGGGGAGCCCAGACAGCGGACCGACCCGTGCTGGTGTCGAAGCACGTCTTGTGCATCCTGCCGAGGAAAAGCTCCAAGCCGATGATGGCATAGATTATGATGACGAACATGACGAGCATGCCGATGTGCAGCAGTGGGACCATGGCCTTCATGATGGAGTTCAACACAATCTGCAAACCTGACAGGACAAAATGATCATTCAGCTGAATCCAGGGTTCCCAAACCTAAACCTATTAAATATGTAAACATCAACTTTTACAATATTTTTATTCACTGTTCAATAACTATCACTTTCGTTTAGCATAAATGCTAACCTCATCTTATTATCCTAGTTAGCAATGAGGGCTGTAGTGGAGCATTTTATTATCAGGACCTTAATAAGGTCATGTTTATGTCATTACGTATTACCCGGTAATACATAATGACTTTTAAAGTAATGTGTGATATTTTATTTTAATCATAGATCAAATTTTATTTTATCTCTATAGTATTTAGGCATTTTGTAGTGTTGTCCTCTACAGCAGGGCTGCCGCACAGTTCCTTTGGTCTTTTTCAGAAACATATCTGTGGAGTTAAATTGGGGTGAAAAAGCTTGTTAAAAAACAAAAAATTAAATAAAAAGAAAAGATTTTAAACTGAAAAAAAAATTAATTTGACAAGTATTTTTGAACATTTTTCTCAATTTCAAAATTATTTTTCAATTTCAAAAAATAATTTTTCAGTATAATCTTTTTTTCAGTAATTTTTTTTGTTGTTTGAACAAACTTTATGACCCCAATTTAATTCCATACTTGTTAATTTCATGCTTACTGTGCTATTTTGAGGAGCAAAACAGTTTGGTAAGTTTTCCTGGCAGCCAGTCAGAAAGATGAACGTGGCACGTAACATTTCATTAAGTTACTTTAACTCCCACATCTACTTTCTCTGATCGTTTTCCTGTTTTCTTTAATTTAAGCTAATCTCAAGAAAATAAACATCCTTTGAATTCACAACGGCAGGCATTTCTTGGCAAACGACGAAAACGAAAACATTTTGTTTCTCAAGATTAACTCCCTAAAATGTCCGCTCTTGGCCTCTGTAGTAGTGATTGAAAACCAAATCGTATCTTATAACAAAAGAAAATTCTAATAAGTTTATGTGATCCATTTTTTTATTTTAATTTTTTTTTCTCATCATCCCTCCAACTTTCTGAGGCTCCAGTTACTAAACGACGAACAGAAACAAAAGCCAGCTGAGAAAATATATAGATATAAAACAAATATATACGTACTCGGCACGCCGGATACGAGCCGAAGAGGTCGCAGCACCCTGAAAGCTCTGAGAGCTTTAACATCCAGGCCTCCAGGTTTTCCTGCAGCATGGTGGGCCTCGCCCGGCTTATGGTCCGTCATTCCCTCCGCTATCACACTGAACAACCTGCACAGAGGATGGCATCAATGTTGCTCCATAGGTTTTATTTAAGAGCGATAGCTTTCGATGGTAAATTTTGAGATACCCGACGATGACGATAATAAAATCCAGCAAGTTCCAACCGCTGCGTATGTAGGCGCTGGGGTGCATCACTAAACCGTAGGCAAGGATCTTGGTGAAGGTCTCTATGGTGAAGATGACGAGGAAGACGTATTCGACTTGTTCCTTAAAATCAGAGCACAGGTTTGGTGGATCAGTGAGAAAATGCATCACCACTTTGGTATTTTGTTGCATAGTGGGATTATTTGTTTGTAAACATGGCGGATGCGTTTGCGACGTGACAGCAGAAAGAGGCTAACGGCCTGTAAATTGTCACTGGTTGCCAAGGTAACCCACATGTATTTTGTTGTTTTAACATTAGCCAGCATGTTGTTGGTGAATGGGATACATAAGACAGCATTCTAGGGACACTGCAGATAGAAAAAAGGAGTACATTTAAGCCAAAATGCTCAGAAACCTTTTGGATAATCCCAAAAATTTTCTAGAAAAAAAGGAAATATTTGAGCTTGAAAAGTCAAAAATTTGCTACAGAAAACTCAAAACGTCTTTTTGATTGTCAGAAATTTTCAGGAAAAAACTTGAAAATTTCTAAGTTCTTAAAGTTGAAAGCTTGCTAGAAAAAAAATCTGAAATTTTTAGAATAATCTCAGAAATCTTTATGAAAAAACAGAAATTTCCGAGCTCATAAAGTTTAAAATTAGCTAGAATTTTTTTTTTTTAATATTTGATTGTCAGAAAATTTCTAGAAAAAACAGGGACATTTCTGAGTTTGAAAAGTTGAACATTTGCTTGAAAAAACTCAGAAGTCTTGAGTTGAATCTCACAGATCGTCTATAAATAAACTTGGAAATTTCAGAGTTTCAAAGCTGAAAATTTTCATCTTTTGAAACTGAAATTTTCAAACATTTTTAGCTAAAATTTCTGAAATTAATTTCAGAAGCTCTTGGTTTTTTTTGATGAAAATTGACTTAGCTCTCAATGAGATGCTCTCAAGTCCCTCCAAATAAGACAAAGATATCCATGGTTTAATTTATTTGAATTGCAAAGGACAAATAAAATACGACCATTTCTTCCTATTTTGGCACAGACTAGCAAAAAATTAACAGTGCAGAACATTTTCAAAAACTCCACCATTAAGAACAGATTTGTTCCTGGTGGTAAAACAACCTCCTTTTGCCAAGAGAAGATCAGTTAACGCTGGAGCTGGAATGGTTTCTAACCTGCAGTCTAAAACACGCTGTCCCCACTTCGCTTTGCTGTGAACTTTCAGGTTAATGCTGCTAATTAATGCCGCTTGGACTTCACCTCAAACTGACACAGTTACCCTGCAGCAGTGGTGTAGTTTAACATAGCAGAGCAAGTTATGTTCTTCTCTAAAACCTGTTTATATATAAAAAAAGACGAGTAAGAGATAATAAATCCCTGCGACAGATCGTATACAGTCAGCTTAACTCATCTGTGAAATCCAATAAAGGGATCTTCAAACATTCATCCTGCTGTTGGTGTGTACATGTGCATGTGTGTGTGTTGCTTTAAAAACACTTAAACTGCACTTCCAGCTTGTATTTTGAACAAGGCTCAAACGATTAATCGTGATTAATCAATTATTGAAAAATATATCGTCAACTAATTTAGTAATTGATTAATTGTTAACAGGAGGATACAGACTCAAAACAAGACTTTTTGCTGAAAGAATAACATACTCACAGTGATAATTAAGACACAATTTTACAAAAAATATATATAAAATTGGCATTTAAGATAAAAGAAATACTTAAATCTGTTGTTCCCAGAACTCCTGAAGTGGCATAGTTTTAGATTTACCACTTTCAAATTCTGCAAAAACAAAACAAAAAAAAAACTTGTATTAAGCCCCCCCCCCCAAAAAAAAGCCAACGGAGTAGCTCTACACTGTATTTTTATTCTTCTTTGCTTCAAATGATCAAGCATACACTAACAAAATGCTGTTATTACATTTTAGTCAATAAAATATAAATTTTCTTATTTAAAAATGGATTCAGTTATTTGTTTATTTGGATTTTTATGTATTTCTAATATTGTGCAAAAATACGTAAGTGGTTAAATTAACAATTAGCATAAAAAGGCCATTCTCTGTAATTTTATGGTTTTTATTTGGACTAAATTCTATGAATCTGTAACAGGGTTTTATTTTAACATCACTACAGATGTGAAGTTTGTCCAAATTTGCTTATTTATTCTTAGAATCTATTTTGTTAGGTAAATAAGTTGTTTCTCCAGACATTTATTAAGTTCTGTTGGCAGTTGGTGGTTACCATAGTAACCGGTAACCGACAGCTCCTCCCCCTTTTTTTTTCAAGAGACTTTAACCAAAAATATGTTTTCACTCAAAAAAATGACTAAAAGATACTCACAAGTAGCACTGAAGCGATTAATCGATTTTTGAAATAATCGTCAACTAAAACAACAATTGATTAATCATTAACAGGAGTATTCAGATTCAAAAAAGGTAATTTGCTGAAAACAACAACAACAACAACAACATATTTAATGTAATAAGCCAAAACTGTATAAATATATAAAATTTGAATTTAATATAAAAACACCTTTGTCTGTAATATGTTTTACCCAAAACTCCTCAAGTGGCAAAGGTGTAGCTTCATCCAGTTCAAATTGACTAAAGGAATGCTCTATTGTTAAATTGTAGGCAATGAAATATTTATTTTGTGATTAAAAATGGTTGAATTATCTGTTTATTTGCATCATTTAATGTGTTAAATAAAAAGTTCAAGAGATTTGTGGAAAAATCTGTAGAATGTGCCCATTTATATCCGATTAATATAATCGATTTTTAAAATAATTGTCAGCTGTAGTTTTACTTACCAGCTGGTGGTTGGTGGGGTTGGAATCATCATCTGGATATGGCTTTGTGACCCCCATGGCCACACAGTTGGCAAAAATAGCTAAAAGAATGAAGATATCAAAAGGCTTGGAGAACAGAGTTAAGGTTTTAACAAGAAAAAATCTGCAACCCAAGACCAAAACATGTTATCTGCGTTACATGTTTGGAACAGTGGAAGAATTGTCAGCGTGACCCATGGTGCAAAGCTACAGCGCGTAAAAAGACGTTAAAGAAAAGAAATATAAAAAATGTCTCTGTGAGAAAATGTTAATATGTATGACGGCTTATTAGGACCATTTTTAATAGAAAACAAAATAGGAGTCAGTTTCCATCAAAAAATTCTGCCAAAGAAGTTTTCTAAAAAAATAAAAAAAACCCCGGAAATTTCTGAGTTTCAAAAATAAAAATTCTAAATTTGCTAAAAAAAAATCTCTGAATTTTTTTTTTTTTTTAGAAAAACTAAGAAATTTAAGTTTGAAAAGTTGAACATTTGCTTAAAACAACTCAGAAATTTTTAGATTAATCTCAGACATTTTCTAGAAAAGAATGTGGAAATTTTAGTGTTTCAAAAGTTGAAAATTTGCTAGGAAAAAGTTAGGAGATGTGACTTGTAGAATTGAATCTGTGACGGTTTAACAGTTGTTTTCTGTCTGTGAGTGATGAACAAATATTCACAAGTTTTGTTTTTTTCCTGCACAGGTTCATGTAAAAAAAATTTAAAAATGTGACCCAAATAATAGAGTTTGCGTTTTGAAGTGGTTTGACTGCTGTCTTGTCTTTGTTAAAGACTCTATAATCTATAATTACAAAACTAAAAGGCATAAATACTTCTGCACCAAAAACACGTTAATAAGAATTATTCATGCAAACGTGACACAAATAAAGACATGCACAGGAGGATTTAAAGGATATTTCCACTCCACCAGGGCCAATGCTGCCATGCGGATTGGGTTGCTCAGCGTGAGGCAGCAGAGCGCTCTGGGGGCCCTCAGGGCAGACTTGTTGGCCTGCATGGCCTTCTTGGCCCCCCCGCCCCTTCTTCTGGCCGAGCCAGTTGACCCCAGGGTATCCGATTTGCCCACATCGCCCACCGGCGGGGCATCTGTACAAACAAAGGTAAAACAAGTGAAAGATCAGAATGACATCATATAAAGAGATTTCTTGTTATTGCCTGATGAGACTAAACCAAAAACGTCTGGACACAATTTAAACCATCTGGGAGTAAAAAACATCTCGGCACATTAAAACGGAGAACTCCTGTAAAAGATTCAGTAAAAACAACCAAGTCAAGATGTTGGTAGTTTTTCAGTTTGTCATCGTTTTTCCTTACTTTGCCACTGCAGCGTCATATTTTTTGCTTGTTTCATAATCATGTAAATCAATAGAACTTTATTTATAAACCTTCTTTCAGCCAGACACAAATCACATCGAATTACCTTGTTGCTGAAAATGCAAAATACAAATAAGATTTTGATTTATAACAAATTAATTGTGCAGAATGTATCGCTGGGTAATTTCTAATCAAGTTTCCTCTCTGAGGAGACAAAGTTGATGTTACAGTTCTATCTACAAAGCTAATAGAGACGGGTAGAATACCCAGAAAATGTACTCAAGTAATAGTACTTCAACATATTTTTACTCAAGTAAAAGTAAGAAGTTGCATCCAAGAAATTACTTTAGTAAAATAAAGCATTTTGTAGAAAGTCTACTCAAGTTCTGAGTAACTGATCAAACATTAATCATTTAATATTTAAAAATTACATCGTCATTGTGCCACAAACATCCAGCATGTTTTTAAAAACCGACTTTGGCACAACCATTCATTACATTTGGCTAAAAACAGCAAAGGCTTGAATAAACAAAAATCATTTTACAGGGTCCAACAAGTTCAAAAAGTTACATAATTGTAAACATTAAGGCAAATATAAAATATTACATATTTATTTATTAATGTGCAGGTTAAATAAAAGAAGTTAAAATAAAATTTTGTCCTCTTAATACTTTCAGCAAAAAGTTTTTGTAAAGTTTAAAACACTTTTAACATTAGGTATCTTAGATTCGACTATTTCTAAAAAAAAAATTAAAATAAATAAAGCTTAAAAGTAGTATGTTTGATGGCATCCTGGACATCAGACCGTTCTTATCTAACACAATTAAGAAAAGATGTGCTTGCAGGAAAGAGACACTGAGTCCTGCGGGTCTCATATGATAAGACCAGCTGTGACCTACTTCTTTATAGGGAGCAGCATGGCACTTAGCACAGCGCTATCCCCAGGTAGACCCATGAACACCTGTTAGCAAAGGTGAGATAAATTCACCTGCACTGTAAAAAAAATAAAAATAAAAAAAAACCCACAAAAAAACCCGTCTCTAATTTACGGTAAATTTACTGTTAGACTGATTTTTACCGGTGAAATTCTAATTTACAGTAAAATACAGCTGCCGATATTTTACCGTAAATTAGAAACGGTATTTGTTTTCTTGTAAACTGCGAGTGTAAAAAAACAAACAACAAACAAACAAAACAACAATAACAAAAAACATTGACTTTTCTTTTTTACACTGGGAAGTCTGTACTTTTTTAAGAATAAAAAAAATAATAGTAAAACGTAGAAAAATAAAGCTTTTTCAGTAGTGGTGGTTAGGGTAAGTTCTCAACTATGACCAGAAATACGTCATGAAAATATCGGAGGACTAAGAAAACACTCTACGAAATAAACAACTGTATGTTTTTAGCCTATTGCATGACGATAAAGTGAGAAAATATTACCTTTTTTTGCTCCGTCCATTTCCGCAGCTTTACAGCAGGCAGTCACCTAAAATAACGCACCATCAACTCTTTTTAGTATCTGTGATGCGTAAAGGATCACAGATATATCATGGAGGTTTTTTTTTTTTTGCTGTTCTTCTTTACAAGAAAAAACCTTCAAGAGGTTATAAAAATCAACGCTGGCACATTTTATAAAGTGCAAAGTTCTTCCTGAAAAAATATTAAATTAACTCCAGCCTTTAGCAACTTGTCGCGCAAACTAAATGATGTATAAAATAGTTTTACTCCGGCGCGTAACGGTGAGCGCTGCAGAAGGAGAGGCGGTGGTGAGCCGGTCGGGATTAGAGAGGCTGAGCCGGTTAAAAGGATGACAGAGGAAATCTGTCAGGGCGCAGGTGGAGGAGGACGAACGAGATTCAGCAGCAAAATCACATTTATGAGAGGAAACAAAACTGTCAAGATGGAGAAGTTTGATGGAGCTAGCAGAAAACAGAATGTCTATGCAGTACACCGGGAGAGACAGCAGGGGGCGCATCTTCACAGACGATAGCAAAAATTGACAGAATGAAACACATTGCATTTAATTTTAGCTCATTGATTAGCTCTAAATTATAATAATCAATTATCAATGCAGATATAATATTTGGAATGCTTAAAAATTAGGAATTTTATTGAATGGCAAGGCTAAAATCAGAGGTAAAGTATGTAGAAAATTATATTTTAACATATTTTACTTAAGTAAGAGTAAAAAGTAGCTTTAAAAAATACTCAAGTAAAAAAAAAATTTGTTAAGGCGACTTGAGTGCTGAGTAACTGATCAAAACATCATTTATTTAATATTTAAAAATGACATAATCAGACAAATATATAAAATTAAGTGTAAGTTTTGGTATTTTAGGGATAAAAAGGACAATAACTCGTATAAATAATTACAAATAAATTAAGGCAGAATATAATTTTTTCCAAAATCAGTTTCTTTAAGTAGAAAACTTATGAAACTTTAAGAAAAACTTCAGGTCTGAGTCTGGTGAACTTATGGTTAAAACGGGTTTGTTTAAAAGTACATTTTTCTAAAACGTTAGTACTTACTAGTAGGTTCTAGCTAAAATTCACAACCATCAGTCACAGAAATCTCAAAAATACCTGTTTGTTTGCCTCCACCAAGAGTTTAAAATCTATTCATTAAAAAGTTTCCCTTACATAAATCCAGTTTGTTTGTTTGTTTTTACTTTGTACACCCTTGTTCCACTTCAACACTTTTCTTTGAACAGTTTCCTGGCAGTTTTGGCTCCTGAGTGAGGATTATTGCGTCTCCAGTTGGGCATTGCCTGAGGCCAACGTTTCCCTGCAGATAGTTTCATATCTCCAGAATAAATCCTACTAAGTCTTTTTTTTATGTGTTGTTTTTGTTAGATTGCCCAAAGCGATCAAACATGTCTGTGATTTTAACACAGCTGAGCTCCATGGATTTCTGTCACAAAGGAGTCAAAGAAACACATTAAAGCTTCAGTAAAGGAAAGAAAAACCTTCCCTGGTAAAAGAACGAAAGATTTTCTCAAAAATTATCTCGTTTTGTTAGATAAATCTGGGGAAAAAAAGTTCAACATCTCTTTTATTTTCAGCCTAAATGGTACCAAACTTTTCATTAAGATATAGGAGCTTTTTACAAGTAAATAATTCTTATTCTAAAAGTACTAGTTTGGCTAGCATTTTATTACACCTATAACAATAAATTTGTCCCGTGCTACAAATGAAATAATCAGCCAGTCGAACTAGTACTTTTTAAATGAACATTAAGAATTATTTACTTTTAACAAGCTCCTATATTTTTGCTGAAAAGCTGCTTGCCAGTGAGTTTTCTCTTATTTCAAGTTCACTAAAATATTTGCACTAGAAACTTGACCTAAATATTTGGTGAGACTTTGTGTTATTGCAGTGTAAAAGTTGCACAGATGTACTAAATTCATTAAGTTTTCACATTTTGGTTTCAAATCAGTTTCGTAGAAGTGTTATTTTTAAGTAATTTCAGAACTTTTATTATACACTCCAAAAAGTAAAACAACAAATAAATCCTTTAACATCTCAAATCTTTATTCCATTTTTACACAATAAATATATTCTGATAAAATAAACAATCTTTCTATACAGAGTTTACATGTGAAACGTTTTGGTCGTTAGATAAAATCACTGGGTTGGTTGACGGTGATTGCAGCAGATAAAACGGCCGTTTAACTAACATCAATATTGATTTTTCCTTATTGCGACACGACGTTTCACTGCGCAGAGTGAAATGATGCTGGCATAATTTAAGCAGACGTTCATTAGCATCGATAGCTGACATTTACATACAGAAAACAAAACAGAGTCAGATCAAGACTTCATCATAAAACCTGCTGAGCAAACAAGATGCGACGTCACAAAACACTGAATTTGGTGCTTAAATCTGTTGAGAAAGACGATTACTTGATTTGTTTTAAATCTTTCACATGCAGCATCTCGCTAAAAGTATTTATACCCTTTAACTTTTCTACTTTTCTGTTTTGTTACAAACCTAATCGTCGACGTATTTGAATAGGATTGTAAGTGATAGCAACACATACAACAGTGGACAGATGTTAAGCAGAAGGAAAAGGATAAATGGCTTTAAATTTTCTTTGCAAGTAAAAAAAAAATCTGGGAGATACGACAGAGTATCAGGGCTTTAGTGAGGAAAGATTGAAAATGAAAAAATAAAATTACGAGAATAAAGTCACAATATTACCAGAATAAATTCAAAATAATACAAGAATAAAGTTGAAATAATACGAGAATAAAGTTATAATCCTATGAGACTTTATTTGCCTAATAACGACATTATTCTCGTAATATTGTGACTTTATTCTCATAATTTTAGTTTTTGTATTTTCTTATCGTGTCCCTAATGCTGTCGTAAAGAAGCGTTGGTTTGATGTGATGCAGGATCGTTTTAGTTTCTCTGAGCTCGAGTTACTTTTCAAAACGAATAGTCGTGCATTAACGTTTGCAACATGACAGAAAGTAGAAAAAGTTGAGGTATTAATACTTTTCTCCATTAACGTCGGCTCATTAATGTAAATGTTAACGGATCCGGTTCAAATGCGTGCAGTCTGTGTGAGGAGCTCACTGATTGGCCGCTCCAGATTTAGCACAGACTTTTGGAAACATGAGCTGCAGAAATAAAACGCTCAGCAGAACGTTCTGGCATTTTCCAAACTGATTTCCTGTAAAGTTTGTCTGAATTTTATTGAACAAGCTTCCTGGTGAAAAGCCAGAAAGCTGTAAATGTAAATCTTTCACAGTATTTGCTTGAATAAAAAAAGGCTGCTACTTTATTTTTTCAGATAATCTGCAAAATACTTTTTACTCATAGGTCAGCTCTGTAAATGTACTAAAAACTGGATCGTATTAAAATCAGCTGGAGAACGCTCAGTAATTCAAGAAAGATTAAATATTTCTAGCATATGTCACATAAATAAATCCATAAGGAGAAGAGACTACTGGATTGACACAAAACAAACAAAACGTTCTCAAGAAGACAACATAATGTTTATCTGAAGGATTCTTACATGTCAAAGTTCATTCTTAAACACTAAATCACAACATTTTACCCTGAGGTGTTTCAACAAAGTGCATCTACTTTTCAAAGTCCTCTTAGCAGTGATGTTGCTCCGTACGCTGCGGTGGGACTCACTGCGTCTGCAGAAGGTATCTAGTGAAACAATCCCTTGGTTCTCTGCTGCTGCTGCTGCGGGTCTCCGTCCTTCGGAGGGAGCTGACTGGGGTCTTCTGTAAACGGCAAAGCTGGAGAACAGAAGAAGAAGAAACAACCAAACATGGCAGATTCAAATGTTGCTACTGTTTTGTTGAATTTTGGAATCGAATTCAATAAACAATAAATTAGATCAGAAACAGGCCATGAATAAGGCTTGAAAATAAATTCAAATTTTTTCATATCAGATCCGATTTCCAAGTTTTTCCTCCCATTTTTTTAAAGAAGGAAATTACTTTCATTTCAATCATCCATTCTGAGTTGGACGGTGGATTATTTACCAGAATAAAGTTTTACTATTAGGAGAATTGGGCTATATAAATAAATTTAACATAAAAAATGCTTGGATAATATTTTTTTTTTTTTGCAATTTTTGTGTTGTCTCATAAAACTGCTACTTCATTCTCCAAATGTTACGACTTTATTGTTGTAAAATTATTATTTTGACTCCAGTGTCATATGACTTTAATCTTGTATTACCACTGTATTCTTGTAACACACAAAACAAGATGGCGCCGTTTGGTGAGCTGACATCTCTCCGAACTTTGGAAACCCAAAGAGCGCATTAGTGAAAAAATAGTTTTCAAAAACCAAAAATTTGATTCATCACTCTAACCAAGTATTTCTGGTGAGGAAATAGTTGGTTTCTGATTTAGCTCGATTATAAAGCTTTGAAAGTTTAATAAAATGGCACCTTTAGTACCATAAGATGATCATTCCCTAAATCAACTCACGGTTTTGAAACTGCTGTGCTGTGTATCTAGTCAGGAGAATACCAAAGCCCTCGATGAGCGCCAGCAGGATTCCCCCCATCATTGCAGAGCCCATCATCGTTAGCGGACCACCTAAAGAAAAACACAGCAGCGCTCAGTGGTATGAAGTATGGCGGCCATTGGGAGGCGACGGCTGCGTAGTTTTCTCTCACTGCGTGCTGCCAGGATGGCGCCGGTCAGGGCGCCACTTGTGATGGAGTTCCACGGATCCTCCTTTCCTCTCAGTCGGACTAAACCACAGTCGATTGTGGAGAAAAGGCCTCCCCAGACAGCAAAGCTGCCTGGAACACAAACCAGTTAGCATCAGCTAGCCTGCGTGAAAGCAAAAAATACATTTAAAAGTAAAAATAGACAAAGTTAAGCCACAAAAGTCTGTAGCATTCTAGTAATTCAAATGATGAAATACTGTCTGAAATGAGTAGAGGTGGGCAGAGTACCCAGAAATTACACTCAAGTAAGAGTACCACTACTTCAACATAGTTTTACTCAAGTGAAAGTTAAAAATACAGTGTAAAAGTAATTTTTTTCAAAACAGTCACTCAAGTAAATGTGGTTAAGCAAATGTAACAAGTTACTACCCAATTCAGGAATGACAAATCCAAAAAAAAAAGAAAACTGCTAAAAAGTTCAGGAAATTAGCAAAACAATCGTCCCTTACCTCCAATCTGAGGAGCTCTTACTCTCACTGCATTTACACTTCCTCTGAGTCTGTGTCCAACACCCTGAAATATTACAACGATCACTTTAAACGAGCAGTCAGATAGAAAACTACCATGATATTTAGTTGGTATTTCTTAAACTTACAGCCGGAGCATTTCGAAAGCCCTTCACTGCTTGGAAAACGCCTCCACCGATTGCACCCATGGTGAAAGCCCCTCCACAGTCATCCACTATCCTCCAGGGGCTGCAGGAAAACAAAATCAAGATGAATGATGCTGGTCATAATGGGAACAAGACAAAGACAAAGAAGAGGATATTAACATCCAGTTTTGCACCAGTTTGACGCTACGAAGCTTACTGGAAATTACCTGCACTGTAATCAACCATCCTGGACTGCAAAGAGAGAAGTGCCAGTCCGACCAAGATAGCTGTTAATGTTAATTCAATTGAACCAAATGGTTTTGCTCATTTCCTCCGCTGCCATTGCTAAAACTATAGGAAGTCTACAATTATAAAATGGCAAAGAAAATTGACATCATCGTTCACAACTTCTCCTTCTGTTTTCTGATTGGCCCGAATTAAATTCTACCAGAGGAATCCAAGTGAATGGGAGAAAGCCCAGACTGTGCTGTAAGCGAGATTTGAATTGAATGAAATAGCGCAGGAAGGCAACTGCGTTTAGTTCGCTTTAATTAAACTAGCTTGTTTGTATAAAAAATCTATTTTGTTTGGGGAAGTGCGAATGAATAATCAAAATCTATTGAGGACCAAAAAAGTAAAATCTGGTCCGCCTAAAAATCTAGGTCTTGGTTCGGTTGAAGTGAACTCTGGGCAATCAACTGCTCCATTCTGCAGGAAGCAAACTGTAGCACAGGGCATTCTGGGTAAATACAACCAAAACAAATGTGTGAGTATTATGCTAGCTGGGTCGTGGACTTTTACCAAGGACAAAAAAGAAATCTCACAGCCTCTAAAATCTGACGCTAGTCCATTTTTGTTATCATTTTGTGAAGAAGACAGTTACATTTCTTCTTCAGAGGTTTTTGTGTCGTTTCCTTCAGTTGTTATTGACACAGCGCCACAACAGGCGAGGAAGGAAACTGGTTTTTCAGAGTTTGGTTTGTTTGACACAGTGCAGTGTGAATGTGAACTGCACCAGCTGAAAATGTAACAAATGTTGCAATTTTTGTTCCCAACCTAACTGAGTCCACTGGACTATTAGGTGTGAAAACACCCTAAAAATCTACTATTCATGCATTCCTATGTTCTATTTGAAATAAAATCATATTTATTTTAAAAATATAAATATAGTTTTCCAAAGAGTCTTTACAGTATTATGTTAGGTTCCATCAAGTTTCAGCCCAGAATCATTCTTTAATTTACATTTGAGCTACTTTACTCTTTAAATTTACAATTCTGCTCAGTGTAACAGTAACAACCATTCACAACACTGCCACACAGAAATTAATGAAGGACATTTAGAGACAGATAAATCCTCAGTGTCAGTTGACAATAGCATTTCAAATCAAATGGTTTTTAATCACAGCTATGAAACAGTTTCCTAGCTTGCAAAAACAAAAAATAAAAAAAAATGACATTTTCATTACTGTCAATCCAGCCATGGGAAAAATTTATTAAATAGCTCGTGGAGCCCCAATTTAGAAGCAATAACTCTCAGGATTAGTTTTCTGTTTACTTTATGACTCGTGTTGTTGGGGAGGAATTCTTCCCCCTTTTTTGTTCAGTTTATTGAGGTTTCCAGAGATTTATTTCTGCACAGCCGCCTGCCACACAATTTCTGTGATTGAGCCATTTACTGTCACACTGTTGTAATTGCTGGTGTTTTTGGGATTCTTGGGACATATCTAGATTGGGAAAAGCTTGTCCTAACGGTCTTAGATTTAACTCCAGAATATTTGATATACAGAGAAGGTAATGGTCGATATTGAAGGGTCTAAAACACTTACAAATATATCTGTCTTGCGCATTTTAACTGCTTCTAAAAACCCCACCTAACCTTTAACAATATGGCGATAAGTTAATGTCTTTTGGGTATCTGGAAAATTCCGTTTCAAAACCTCCCGATCGACGGGCACTGCGCCGTTACCTAGCAACCCTAGCATAGCCCAGCCCCGTTACCTAGCAACCCAAGCGGAGCGCCAGCACTTTTGGGCAGCTGGTTTTACCGCTGCATGCGCTGTACAATAGCTTTTGGAAAAGACAAGTTTTATGTTGTTGACTTACCATTTAGAAAACACCTGCGGCATATTAATGCTTTTTACAGATGTGCGTCCTTAGAAGTGGGCATGTGTTTTCAGCCATTTTCAAGTGCGAGTGTAACCGTTGAGTTGGGGGCGTGGCCAGCAGCAGTCTGGATTTAAAGTGACAAGACGCCCTAAAACAGCTCATTCTGAAAGTAGCTCGGAAATACGCAGAACTAACCAGACTAAAATATCAATATTTATTTTGAAAACTGAGGCATGTAAAGTGCCAGATGGACCTTTAGTTTTAATTTTTATAGTTCCTCTGAACTTTGCACAGTCTGAACTTCGTGATAACTTTCTTGGACACCAACTGCTGAAAAGAATGGCAACTGTCTTTAAATATTTTCTACTTAAATATTATTTTAAAATTAACAACTTGAAATAGTTTGGAAATTTCCTTATTTTCCTTCCCTGATTATTGGCCAGCAACAGCTGTTTTTTAAAGGTCACTGATGATGTCATGAAATAATACATAAAATTTTTATAGCGCATTTTTGGGACCTCAAAGATGCTTCAGAGTATGTCTGTCTACATTTATATGTTGACAGAAGGAACCTGGCAAAACTTCTGGTTTACAGTCAGTCAGTCACACTAATCAGTTAAAAAATGGACTTTATTCAAAACAGCTGGATGGTTTTTTTTACCCTTTTAAATAACAACTGTGTATTTAGTTTATTATTATTATTATTATTATTATTTTTATTATTATTATTATTAAAGTTTTCTAACTTGCTATAGTGCATTTCTTAAAACAATTGCAAAATGTACAAATTGCAAAACCAAGTTGGTAACCTTCAAATACAAAAAAGTAATATCTTGGTGACACTACCTGAAAATGCTCAAGATAGCAACAGACTATTTGCACAGCCATTTGAAATCTACAGTTAAATGACACTGAGAATGTATTTTTTATTATTATTTTTACAATTTTACTGCATATGTACTTTGTAGTTCTAATTTGTCCACAGTATCGTACAAAAGAAAAGTATAAACTTATTTACAATGAACATAAGAAACATCCATTGGATTCAGTGATCATAGAAGGTCATTATGTCAGATAGACATAAGCAAATTATGTTATAAAAAAGCAGGTAATACAGAAGCAACCGATGCAAACAGCAACCATGTTGAGCACAAATGACTATTTGTGGTGGATGAACTAACAGTAATAAACATTTGAATTTTGCTCGGAGAAATGCACCAAATCAATGAGAAAAAACTGTAATGTATCTCAATGACTTTATTAAATTTTATCTACACTCTACTGATTTATTGGTATAAAATCGCTTCAATTGTAATTTCAGAGAAACATGGCATTCCGATAAAATATTGCATTTTACAATTAAAAGCACAGAGTGTGTAGAGCAGTTGCTGCTGGACAACAGCTGTTTATTTATTATCGAAGCAAACATTACATCCGTATTACAAAAACAAAGTCTGTCAAAACAAAGTCTCACCAACAGAATCAATATGAAGCGAGAGCCGAACCTGTAACACACATCTCATATGCTTGGCAAATAGCTAAGGACAAAAATGTATAAACTAATCTTACCAAGGCTCACGGGCATACTCCTCCATCTTTGTTGACGTCAAGCGGACACGGTGACGTAATCGATGTGCGCCGCCGGCGGCTTTCTTTTTTATTTTTTCCTAACAAACGGCGGTATCAACGGTTCTCTCGACAAGTAACTAGCAAATTCTTTTAATACAGGTAAGAACTAAATTACTATTAATTATTTATCTTACTTATAAGGCAGTTGTGTTTATCTTTTAGTGTATGCTGAGATAAAGACAGCGTGCTTGTTGCTTGGTGTTTTTAGCTGTTGCTACATCGTTATCCCCTCCAGGCCATGCACCTTTCTCCTTCTTGATATATATTTGCTTACTGTTGCACACAATAACTCTAAATGATTAGTCTTTTAATAAATAATCCAAAAGCTAGCACGTTTAAAATGTTGCATTAGTGGTTTCTGTCACTGTGAAACACGAAAGCAGTTTAAAACGATTTATTCTGATTTACAGTCACAACCTAAACAGAAAATGTGAGCTAATACTGTTCCTTTAGCTTTTCAATAAACGTAATTTATTGAAAAGGAAATAATGCTCACATTAGCTTTTCAGTTCACTTTGTAATCTCTGTAAACGCAGATTAGCTTTTAAACCCTGTACTCATATATTCCTGTTTTTGTTTGAACGTAACTACAGAATCAAAACTTTACAATCTAGATTAGAAGCTTTTAAATATTAGAGCATATTTTCAGTAACATTCCTAATAATCTTTGCTGACTATCTAATCTCTTTTAATTTATGAAACGACCAACTGCATGGACAAGTGCAGTAGGTGCAACAACACCGACATATTCAATGTATTTTTTTCCTTTTTTAGTCTTACAGTGCCTTTCAAAAGCAGCATTTTGTCACAAAATTTAAATGTTGTTTATGTGAAGTACTAATATAAAGTAGTACATAATTGTGACTCAGAAATGGATTTTATAATAGAAAATTTAAAGCTTTCGTTCATGATTGCCCAGAATTTAACTCCAGCCATCATCCAATCACAGCTTCCTGTGCCTGTTGTGGAAAACCTCAGTTTTACTGCAGGATTGGTGAGTTCAGGGTAAAACACAAGGTTTCAGTCACAGATTTGGTTTTTGCATGCAGCCCAAAATGTTACATTTTGGCCACATTTGACCAGAGCATCTTCTTGACCATGTTTTGGGAAACAGGAAATGAGACTTTTAACTTTTCTACAAATCCAGATGTTTGGAGTGCATGACTGGTAGTTGATTGTGAATCCTGCAGTTCTTGAGCATTATCGTTTTAGATTAATGCTGTCTGACAGATGTTGTAAAATGTTATTTTATCTTGTTTCCCTCATTCAGCTCAAACATAATCCTAATTCCTGTTTTGCAGAATGCCTCTTCCTCCGGCACTTCTGGCCCGCTTGGCCAAGAGAGGGATTGTTAAACCAACAGATCAAGGTTTACATAGTTTTTACTTTTAGCTATAGTTATTTATTTTCCTTGTTGCCTTATAATCTGTCTCTTCTAACAAATATACTCTGATTATTTCCAGCAGATGTAGATGAGGAGATTATCGCTGAAGATTACGATGACAACAATGTGGATTATGAATCCACCAGACTAGAGAACCTTCCTCCAAATTGGTACAAAGTGTTCGATCCGTCCTGGTATGTACTCATAAATTAAATTCAACTCTTTGGGAGTTTACAGAAATACCAAATTACCTCACAGATTTGTGTTGGAGTCTTTAATTATCACTTAAATCAATTATCTTCCATTTTAATCCACAGCGGTCTTCCTTACTACTGGAATGTAGAGACAGATATGGTGGCCTGGCTTTCACCAAATGACCCGACTGCAGTTATAACAAAACCTGCCAAGAAAATGAAGGGTAAAATAAAGCAGTCTCAGTTATTATTCTTTAGCTATATATCACTGCAGTCAGAAGTTTACATACTTGCTACAAAAAGCACCTGAACATGAATCGTTTTAACACCTGTAGATTAAAGACAGTCAGCAATAAAAACTAATTAATAAATAATGTAAAGCTCACAAGAAATGTGATTTATGTTTGCAAACTTTGGACTGAAACTGTTTTTTAAACCATGGGTGTCCAAAGTGCGGCCCAGGGGCCATTTGTGGCCCTTTGATTAATTTTTGTGGCCCCTGACTGCAATTCAAGAACAGCTCAAATTTGTCCATCCAACACTTTCAGTAGTTTTTTTAGGATGAGATGTTCTATGTTTGTATCTTCTTAAACGGAAAAATGTTAAGGACAACACAAATAATTTTTCTTGAGTTAACCTTTTTATTAATTATTATTATTATTATTATTATTGTGTTATTAGTCGTACCACAAACATCCAGCATGTTTTTACTCAAAAACAAACTTTGGCACATCCCTCCATTACATTTGGCTAAATACAGTAAAGGTTGTAAAAGAAAATTCTTTCCTTTATTCCTTGGAATGAACTAAAAACATTTCATAGACTTAAAAATGGAAAGTGCAAAAAGTTAAATAACTGTAAACATTAAGGTAAATCTAAAAAAAGAGAGAATTCACAATAATGGGGAAAAAATAAAATTGTGGCCCCTGAATAATTTCAGCTTTGTGATTTTGGCCCTCAGTTCAAAAGGTTTGGACCCCCTGCGTTAAGCTAACACATGAGCAGTTTGTTTTTGAATATTCATGAATTATTTTTGTAAACATCCTCACGTTTTATGCTGTTTTTTTTTTTTTTTTAGCTGATGTCACAGACGAAAGAGCAGAGAGGCCGTTTGAAAAGCCAGAGAAGGAACGAGACCGGGATCGGGACAGAGACCGCGACCGAGATCGGGAACGAGACCGGGAAAGGGACAGGGACCGAGAACGGGACAGAGAGAGAGACAGAGACCGGGACGAAGGACGGGACAGGGACAGAAGGAAGCAGAGGAGAGACGACATGCCACCGTATGGCAAAAACAAAAGAGGTAATGTCCTGAAATGTCTCATTTTTTTACCTCCGTTTTTTAAATAGTAGTAAATGTTGAGAGCTTCATTTGTTTTACAGGAAGAAAAGACGATGAGATGGACCCAATGGACCCGAGTGCCTATTCTGATGCTCCAAGGTACCGTATGAGCAGGAAACATGAGGAAAAAACCTCTCTGTTTAAAATGTTCATTATGATGGAGGAAATGTGAGTAAAATATAGGATATAAATATTCTAAATAAATAAATGAGTCCAGCTTTAAGAAAAAAATGTTTAAAATACTCATTTGAATTTCCCTGACTATTGACACATTATGCAAATGTTTTAATACAGGCTGAAATTATTAATCCTGATAAATCAAAAATGTAAATAATCATCAAATAACTCAACCATTAACTGTAGTAAATAAACTAAAAAGAGAAAAGTTTATGAAATGACACACTCAGCAGCAATTAAGCAAAATATGCACAAAAAAATACAAACATTTAGCATTTAAGATAAAAAAAAAGCTTCTTCGTCTGCAAATAAGTTCTACCCAGAACACCTCAAGTAAGCGTAGTTCTAGCTTGATATGGTTCAGATTCCATTAAAAAATCTCCTATTAAGCACTGCTTATTATCCAATTATTAATTAGGTAATTTAAAAAATAATCATCAGATCAGCCATTTGATGTATTGTTCGTCGAGCAGAAATCTCTGAGTTTTTCACACGTTGATGTTTAAACTTTTCTTTTAGCTGCAGATGCATCCCTTATTATTGCATTTTAGACAATAACATATTAGCATTTTTATTGTATTTCTGATATTGTACATAAAAGCTTAAGTGTTTGCATGAAAACTCTACAGTGTAAGAAAAATAAAAATATCGGCACTAAAAATATCAACTCTAATTCAAAAACTGTAACTCGGTGTCTGATTATAATAAAGCAAATTCACAATTTCATTTTAACGTTGTTACAACTTGTCTTAAGCTTCTATAGTTTATACAGCGGAAGTTGTCCTAACAAAATAAAAGCATTAAGTCAAAACCAGAAGTTAACCATATATTTGCTAAGAAAGGCTGGTGGAATCACCTGACTCACTCATTCTTTGGTTACCTAGCAACTCGTTCATTCTTTGGTTACCTAGCAACTCGTTCATTCTTTGGTTACCTAGCAACGACCTGCTGAGTAACTGGCACAGCAGCAGTTTAAGGTTCTGCCATTTTACCTCATAACTGCTTAAAAATAATAAATGGCTTGGAGTGAAAACGGTGGATAAAAGAGTAAAGGTCAAGTCATCAGTTTGGAAATATTTCAGATACTTAAAACATAAAAACTAATCAATAATTATTGATATAGACTGGTATGAAACGCTTATATCGTCCAGCCCCATTTGTAAATAATGAATTTACCTTTCACTTTTGATTGAATTCAACTAGTTTTGACTTTTACTAGCCTACATTTTTCATATTTTTTAAGATTACTACTGTTAATCAAATAGGAAGTCTTTAGAGCAACACTGACTAACTGCGGAGGGTTGCAGCTGCAGTGCAACGTGATGCATGCTGGGTTGAAACTTCGCTCGACTCCTGCTGGTACTGCAGAGCAGACGGCGAGTCACGTGACGGGTAACCCCGTGGGAGCCAGGCGGCTGCAGTTTTCTGAGTCAGGCGCTGCAGATGCTCTGGTTTCACATGCTGGGCGCGACCTCTGTAACAACATCGATCCCATCGGCCCACAGGTTGACACAGCTGCTCTTTACCAAAACGCCTCAGGTTGATCCCTCACAGAAAGAAAAGAGGGGTTTAGGGGTTTCAGATATTCTGAAGGTTTCTTCTCGAAAAGTTGAGGATAATTTTAAAAAAATTCTAGAAAATATGCGAGATTAATCTAAAAATTTCCATGTTTTTCCTTGCCAATTTTCAACTTTCAAATTTCAGAAATTTCATTTGTTTTTTTTGTTTTGTTTTTCCAGAAAATGTGTGATCAATGTAAAGTTAGATTTTTGGTTTAAATTTACTCCTTATTAAGCCAACGTAGCTTTCCACCAACCACTCTCCATATTTACAGTTGTTTTTTTGTTTTTTTTGTTTTAAGTTTCATTCAAGGCAGCATTAAAGTTCTTAAATTTGACTTGCTGAAACCTGCAGATTATTCTGTTTCCAGAAACTTCCATCATCTTTCTTTATGAGCTGATTTATCATAACCAGCGCTATTAGCGAGGCTTTGATGTGGAGAGTCACTAATCCCTCTCTCAGCTGTGGGATTAGCGCATGAAATCAAGCTGCTAATTAAAATGAATGTTTTAATCTTCACAGGGGCTCTTGGTCAAGCGGCCTCCCCAAACGCAACGAAGCAAAGACGGGCGCAGACACGACGGCCGCCGGGCCGCTGTTCCAGCAGCGGCCGTACCCGAGTCCCGGGGCGGTGCTGCGAGCTAACGCCGCGAACCATCCGCCCAAGGAGTGAACCGGGATCCGGTGAAGACGGAAAAAAAGTCCGGAAAGACGAGAGATGGGAAAAGATCCCGTATGGACGGCCGCAAACACACAAGCGCTGTTGCTAGCTCTTTAGTACGGAAACACCCAAGGGACATGGGGAGATTTTTTTGTTGTTGCGTTACCTCGCAAATGTACGACGGAATATTAGCGCCATACAAAAAATAAATAAAATTACAAGAGTAAAATCAAAATAATAGGAGAATAGTCATATTTCAAGAAGTCGTAGTGTTATGTTAAGGATATTACGAAAATAAAGTCATAATTTTATGAGAATAAAGTAATATTACCAGAAGTTGGAATGCAAAAATATAGTAAAAAAGTCTAAATAATACGAGAATAAAGTCAAATGACTATTCTCATATAGATTATTCTTGTATGAGTTTATCTTTGTAATATTTTGTTATTCTTGTAATAAAGTAAACAAAGTAATACTTAATTACTTTATTTATATCTTCATTACTGCTTATTTTGGCTCAATTATTCCCTGCGATTAGCAGCAGTTAATCACATCCAAACCAAATATTTAACTTCTCACCTGTTCATATTGTCGTAATGTGACTTTATTTGCATAAATCTATAACTTTATTGCTATTATTTCAACTGTATTCTCATGACATTTCTTATTATGACTTCATTCTTGTGGTTTTATTTTCAAATTTTTAGTTTGGCCCCAACTCTCCGTCGTACAAAAGTTTTTTTTCGTTCCCTTGCAACAATGTACCAGTTAATTCATGCAGCATCTTGGATACTGAATCTTCCTGCTACAGTATGAAGTTTTTCTGCGTACATTAACATCTATTTTGAGCTAATATACGTCTATTTTAAATCGTTTTCATTAGAATTCAGGTCAAACATAAACAGAAACTTTCCATTAACAGAGAAAAAATACATCCAAACTATTTGGACTATTTTTATTTTCAGTGTAATAAAGTGATAAACCATTTAGTTTGGTTGTCTAAATGGCTAATAAAGGGCCGTTTTCATGGGCAGTCCAACCTCTGAATTACTCAAGAAAAAACAGACAATAGATTTTCTGCACCAAAGTGACAAATATTTGAATATTCAGAGGCTCTGTTAAGGCAAAAGTCAATTTACTAGTTTATTACGAGGGAACGCAAAAGAAAAAGTTATCTTAAACATTTTATTTTTAGATGTGTGCATCCATGTTGTAAATATGTTTTATATTAAATGTTGACTTTTTTGTTGCTCCTACAACCGTCTCTGGCCATAATAATAAATTTCAACATTGCTGTGAAACGTTTGTCTTTTCCTGAAGAGGAATACCATCATCTGAACAAACAAATCTAGATGTGATTTTTTTAAATATATTTTTATTAAAAAACATTGCATGATTTAAAGTTACATCTGAACATTACAAAAAGCCTGATATCAGTGGTCTGAGGCTCCCACATAGTGACAAATGGAGTCATAATCCAGAGTGAATAACTTCTCCTCGTATCTGTCGAGCTGCACCATCGCTCTGCACTTGTTCTTATCCCGCTGAAGAATACGGCCGACCTGATCCGACAAACAAAGGACCGGCGATTAGCAGCAATCAATCAATCGATTGATTACATCCAGACCGGATAAAAACGAAACCCACTGCTCACCTGTCCTCTGTGCTCGCCCAGAACCACCATCACGGCGTCGTACTCTCCTTTTGGGACGATGGTTTCCAGCATGTTCTGCTTCACATCTGCCACAGAGAGACGGGTTAGTCGCTAACGTAATTTAGAGCGGCCGTTTCCATAGCAGCAGTCGGGAGCGGATTGATCATCCGGTCCCCGATCATTATTCTGCTGCTTTTTCATGAAGGCTGGAGGCTGCTGATTGTTTCTGCTCAATTATTCCCTAAACATGTCCACTTTTTACTTCATACTGACAAAATATTTAGATAGGACAGCTAGAAAATTACATTTAGAAGCTCAGTAAGTGTCGGATTTTATGCGACAGACCAACAAAAAGTAACAAATAATTGCATAGTGTGAGGATAAATCTGAAAAGTGTGGATCTAATTTGCTTGTGCAGAGTATGAATACTTTGTCTAACGCTAGTTCACGATAAGAGAAAAAGAAAAATGATACAAGCACAGTAAGCTTAAATCAAAGGAGTGGAAGACTTCCAACATTTGTTACATTTGGCACCAAGTCAAATGATCCAAGCTACTTAAAAAACTGTTCCCCTCCTCACCTGTGGTGGCGCTGCAACAAGAACAGAAAGAAAACGCAAAAACCTCTGAAGAAGAAATGAGCGCAACTTCCTTCTTCAGGAAATGTAAATAAAAATGGAGTAGCGTCAGATTTTAGCGCTTTTTGTTTTGTTCTTGGTAAAAGACCAAGAGTTATTTTCCCGCTAGCGCTAGAGTCACACGGTTGTTTACGTTGTATTTACCCAGAATCCCCAGGCTGTGGGCCACTTCCTGCTTTTTGGAGCCGTTCACAAACAGAAACCAAAGTTAATAGGTGGACCAGAATTCACCTTTCCCTTCTGGAGACGATGATTTAAAGAAGGATTCTTCATGACATTAAGAAAATTATGGACAATCTGACCATCTTCTTCATCAGAGTCCTTTGGGAAAACAGTGTCTTCAGTCAGAGGCTTCTTCAGAATCGCTGCAATTCAGACTGCTGCATGAAAACGACATCTGCAACAACTCTGAAGAATCTGAATTAATATGAGTTACAACAACATTTAATTTCCATTCGGGATCAATAAAGTACTTTGATTTTTAAATTTTTCGTCCATAAGTTTTCACACCGTCCCAAACAAACTGGACTTTCACCATAATCAAACTGGAGTTTGATTAAAGGGGACCAACAGGGTTGGTGTGAATCCTACCCCCGCTACAATCTGACGCTACTCCATTTTTGTTTGCATTTTGTGAAGAAGGAAGTTGGGTTCATATGTTCTTCAGAGGTTTTCGTATCATTTCCTTCAGGTGGGTTAGTGCAGCGCCCCCACAGGTGAGGAGGGGAACAGGTTTTTCAAAGACAGCTAAGGAGATCACTTAAAACGATCAGTTTCTCTGATTTTACTTTTATAGGTAAATGTTTGAGTAAAATGAACTTTGTTCTTTTATTCTATGAACTACTGACAACATGTCTTCAAAATTCCAAGCAAAAATTTAGTATTTATTTGCAGAAAATGAAAAATGGTCAAAATAACGAAAAAGATGCAGCGATTTCAGACCTCAAATAATGCAAAAAGAAAAACAAAAAAACAAGTTGAAATTCATTTAGAAACAACAATATTAATGTTTTAACTCACGAAGAGTTCAGGAATCAATATTTGGAGGAATATTGATTCCTCCAAATATCCAAAGTCGGGTTCAGTGAAGTGGGGGCTCTTAATTTTTACCAGAGTTGTTATTTTGGGTCATTTGACTCAGTGCAGTGTGAAAGCAAACTTCACCAGCTGAAAATGTAACAAATGTTGCAACTTTGGTTCCAAAACCAACCGAATCTACTGGACTATCAGGAGTGGAAACAACCTACGAAAATGGAAACGAGGTTTTAACTGTTTATGCATGTCAAATTTAAAACTACTAAATTTTAAAACTCTTCCTAAAACAGGTTAACATGGTTCATACTGAGGTCTAACTGGAGACTGAGGCTGTTTTAACCACGAGACATCCGTAATGAATTAAACTAAATAGGCTGAGTAATAGCAACTTTATGTTGATGCTGCATAAACAGATAAACACATTTTGCCCACAGGGAACGCCTGAGTACAAACTTACACAAAATGAGCGAGAGATTTCACGGCTGACTCACCGTCTAGCAGTCTTCCCTCTTCAGTTCGACACACGCAGGTAAACGGCGTCAGGACATCCTCCACTCGCATCTACAGGGAAGTGAGTTCGAAAACAATCCTGAGTTTACTGGAACTAAGCAACAAATAAAGGTTTAAAAACCATCTGCTACAAAAACATCAGCAGTCATGGTGCAAAAACTCAACGTTATTATCAGTGTGACAGTTGTTTAAACTGGCAGATTTCCATGCTGAAGCTGTGATAATCAAGATGTTATTTTGTTTTTGCAGCAGAAGTAGAAATATTGTTGATTTCTGCTGATTTTTGTAAATACAGTTAAACTTCTAGTTGAAGGTTATAGTACTATAAGACCATATTTAGTGGTATAAAACATTGATTCTCTTTAAAGTCTGTGTAAATAATGTTGATTACGTCTGGATTTGTTAGCAAAGCTGCCACTGTGAGCAGCAAAGACAACCTTAAGTGGGAGGCCAGTGACAAAGAGTCAATAATCATGTCCTGACCTTCAACTTCACAGCATTGAGCTACGTTTGAGTGAAACACAAAGACAAGCAGCCGAGGCTTCGCTACCTTTGAGTTGTAGTAGCGGCCGCCTTTAAACGCCTTGTCTATGAAGCGGACCTTCAGGTCCCTCTGGAGCCAGGAGGGAGGAGCTGGAGCCTGCCGTGCTTCTTTCACCGGTGGCTTATCTCTGCACAGGAACAAAACATAAAAAAACAGCCAGTCAAGGATTTAACGGTGACCTATTGAGCAAAATTGACATCTGGCATGTTTTTGTTTTTTTAATTTGGGTCTCAAATGCTATTAGAAACGCCCAAGTCCTTTAAAAACACCAGCAGACATTTTTGGCAGTCAGTTGAAAATTTTTGGGCTCTGGAAAATGAGATGTTTCAAAAACCTACAGAATCAGCAGGTGATCTCAGCAGTTCCACTGTTACCTAGCAACCCCAGTGGAACTCCTCCCGTTACTTAGCAACCACAGCGGAACTCCGCCTGTTACTTAGCAACCCCAGCGGAACGCCGCCTGTTACCTAGCAACCCAAGTTGAGTTCCAGCACATTTGGTCAGCTGGTTTTATCGCTCCATGCGCTGTACAATGGCTGCTGGAAATGGCAAGTGTCTTGTTGTTGACTCACCATCCCAGAAACCATTTGCTGCATTGTTGTTGGTCGTGCAGGCAGCTCTACTAATGCTTTTCAAAGATGTACGGCTGCATCTGTTTGCAGCCATTTTCACCTTGGAGTGTAAGCCACTAAAATCCAAGGATGATTTAATGCAAAAAATGTAATGAACGTGTTTTGTAGCATGCTGGCCTGTTGAAGGAATCATAACTGGTCTCCTTTAAGGAAACGAGGTGATTTGAAGTGAAAACGTACCTGTCTTGACTTGAATCTCTGTGTTTCCTCTTCCTCTCGTCTTTGCCTTCCTCCCTTTCAGATGACTTGTGTTTGACTTTGTCACTGCTGCTGCTCTTTTCTTTCTCCTCAAGTCTCTGTCGCTCCTTCTCCTTCTCTTTCTCCTTCTCTTTGTGGGCCCTACTGAGCCGACCTGTGAGTTGGGTCGGACAGAACCATTAGTTCTCAATAAATTAGAATAACATCGCCCTACAGGATGAATTTATTCCTGCTGTGATTAAAGAACAAGCAGAACAATTCGATTCAAAAAGACTTTATTGATCCCAAGGAGAAATTAAATGTTTTAACTCTTATTATTTACGTTTCTTCAAAGTAAAAGTTGTAGAAGAAATTCTTTCTTTTGTTGCCGGGAATAACTTACATTTTACAGACGTAAAAATGGAAAATAAGTCCTAAAAGTTAAATAACTGCAAACATCACGTAAAATATCATTGTATCATTAATATTATTGCTGTGCAGGAAAAAGACAAAATAATTATAATTTTGTGTTTTTCATTGAGGAGTTCACCGTCTAGGAAAATTAATTCTAGTTTTTAAATTAGCCGTAAGCCGTTATATGTTTTACCTTTGTTTTGTTTTTTTACATTTGATTTCCTGAAAAAAGTATCGTTTTATTAAAGATTTTTTAAAAATAAAAATAACAAAAAACAAGTGACACTGTTTTTATTAGCATTTAAATGAGGCCTCATACTGTAACTTTTCTGTTGTGATATTTTATTTTATTTACTTATTTTATTTTATTTACTTGTTGTTACTCTTATTTTCTCTTTTCATTGTCTTATTCTGTTGCCTGATTGTTTTAGTAGCTCTTCGGTTTTGAACCT